TGAATTAAAAATTTCAACTCAACTCATTCTTTATTAGTAGACAGATAAACTGGACCGACTACAATCTAGGAGACCTTTAGTTTTATTTAAACCTAATTTAATATTATAAAATTGATTTAATAAAATTTGGACTCACATAAATCCAGTAAATTTTTCTTTATCTTTGTAACTTTTTTCTCGTCAACATTAAGATTGATTCGTATTCATAAATTTGTTTAGTTGTGTCGGATTTAACTTCATTTAAGTCAACATTAATAGCATTCGGTATGGTTCGTATAGACAGTAAGATTCATATTTTTAATGTCGTCCTATGTAAATATACAACAACACATTAATAAAGGAACAATAACATTAATAAAGGGTTGGCGTACACTTTTCTTCTTTTATGCTTAATTTTGGCAGATTCTAAATACCTCTTTTCTTGTATTGGTAGTTAGCTTTGAAATTTTGATCTTCTGAAAATGCTTCTTTAAGATTTTTATTTTTTTTCTTTAATTTAAGTTCGTTATAATTAAATATGATTCAATCGTTGCACTCTTTGTCAATTTGACTTTACCACTGCGGAAATCCCCACCAAATGTAAAACTTTAATGAAAACAAAAGCTAGCCATGGATCCTTTGATGAAAACAAAAGACAATAGGGTGGGTAGAAGAAATTAAAGTTTGTAGAATTAACGGATTTAATCCTCAGTGTACGTAATTATCCACAAATTTAACTAAATCAATATTTGTATACAAGACTTTAATACTTCAATTAAGAAGATTTAAATTTTGACACTCTAAGTCTTGATATATTTTTAGTTTGATAAACTTTATTCTAGAAAGAAACATTTTTTGCATATTATTATTTAACACTCGAACCAGATTGATTATTCGTGGATTGAATATAAACCTAGAAAAAAAATGTTATTTATTTCAAGCGTCAGATTTATTCAATATGTTTAAAATATAGACTTCTGGCTCAACACAATTTAACAAGTAAATGGGAAAAAAACACTGATAATAAAAGTTTGATGGCAAAAGTATTATTCATTTTAAAAAACTAATCCCAAAACCCTTTATATTCATGAAGATTAGGACTTACTATATACATATAATTAATACATGTATTTAAATTAAAGATAAATCATTCTATTTTAGAAAAACCTCAAATCATACTCTTATTTTTATTTGTTTCAATTTTAAACACAATTTGATGGAGTAACTTTCTTTTTGATAGTAATATTAACATCATTAAAGAAATGTTACATATCAATTCGTGGTTTTATTTTTTAATATATTTTTTTAATTTTCTTTAAAAAATAATAATTTGCACATCTTGTATCATGTGACTCTTGCAATATATGTAATGTATCGTTACTTTAGTTTTAATTTATTTTTATTTTGTCTCCACTAAATGTTTTTTTTAAATTAAACATTTCATTCTTTTTTATATTGAAACGAATTTTAATTTTTATATAAATATTATACAAATACTTTTATTAAAATTTATATTTTTATATAATATGTATGTGTATGTATTGTAAAATTATTAAAAATTTATTAATATTTTCAATCTATCTAATCGAACAATTCAAGATTCAATACATACTTTATTAATAATGTTTTCTCTTATATTAATTTTAAAAAATATGCAATTTTTTCAAATTGCAAACAATACATTAAGTATTGAATATCAAACAAGAAACTAAGATTTACTTGACAAAAACAAATTATCTTAATAACAAACTAAGCTTACACTAAATATACCTATAAAAAGTAAATAATCCCAATAAAAACATATTATCATTAACAAAAAATTGTAAAGGCAAAATTTTCAAAAAAAATGAAAAACAAAGGTAATAAAGGTTACATAAACAAAATATCCAAAAAAATAAATCTATAACATGTTTCCTTTCATTCATTGTAGTAAAAATTATGTTTATAATTTATGAAATATTACAAAAATAAACCTAAGTTTTTTCGTTACTTCATCCTTTACCACTACAATATTTGAGTTGATTCACATTTATATTTGGGACTCAATTTCTGTAATTTCCATACATGGTCATTTTTATTTCTTTACCATAGTGGATGACTACTCTAGACACACCTGAATTTATTTGTAAAAAATAAGATAGAAGTTAGACATTTAATTCAAGCCTTATGTACACTAGTTGAAAACCAATTTCAAGGGCTATAGTTAAAATTGTTATAACTAATGGTAGGTAGTTCAAATTTGACCAATTTTATGCTACAAAAGGAATAGTTCACCAAACAAGTTGGATAAAAACTCCTCGAAAAAAAATCCATAGTATAGAGAAAACACCAACATATTCTCAGTGTTTCTAGAGCCTTATTGTTTCAAGTTGACCTTTACAAACTATTTTGGTCTTATATAGTCATGCGGTCAATTTATCTCACCATCAAAATTCCTACATCGATTTTGGATAGCAAGTGCCCTTATCAACTTCTATATAAACATCTTCCTACCTTGACTCAACTTAAGGTTTTTGGTTCGCTTTGTTTCTCCTCCACACTTGTTAATCATAGAACTAAATTTGATCTTAGAGCCATAAAGTACATTTTTTTGGGATATAAAAGTGGAACAAAAGGTTATGTTATATGTCAATCTTTTGTTATGAATGTCACCGCTATACCTAAACCACTAGATATTCCAAGACTATCAAACATGATTATTGGAGGATAGCGATGGATTAGGGACTAAAAGTGTTGACAACAAATAACATTTGGTCCTAATTGATAAACACAAGGCAAAAAAACTCATTCGTTGCAAAAGGATTTATAAACTCAAGCACAAATAAGATGAGATAGTATAACGATATAAAGAAAGACTAATTGTGAAGAGTTACACTCAAATATAGAGTTGGTATGGGTCTGTTGAGTTGAGCTGAGTCGAGTCAGCTTAGACAAGCTGAATCTACACCCAAGTTGGTCTAGGCCAAAGTCAAGATGAGTCAACTAAGGTCTCAGTTATGCTAAGTTAGTGCAAGCCCATATTTAGTTGAGTTGGGGTGAGTCCATGTTAATCTAACTTAGCCTAGGTCCAAGTCAATCATAGATCGATCAAGATCAAGTTAGTCCTAGCCTAATAAAAACCATGTCATGTTGGGTCGACCAAGTATGTTTGGATATAGTTTGAGTTGATTCATCCTAAGCTAATTTGAGTTGAGTCAATCCCAATAAGCAGAATTAAGCCAAGTTAGCCTAACTCCATGTGGAGCTGAGTCACTTCGGGCTTAGGTCAAGTCGAGTTGGATGGGTCAACATTCATCCTAGTGAACACCAATATGCACTTAGTCAAGTTGGGCTAGGCTTAGATGGGTCCCAGTCTAATCAAGACTAGGCCAGACTTAGCTTGAGCAAGACCAAGTTAAGGCAAGTCTAGGTCAAGTTAAGTTGGTCTCGACCTAAGTTTACCTAAGTATATCGTAACTCAGGTAGAGCTGAGTTGGTCGAGGTCAGTCAAACTAAGTCATTCCTAGCCGCTTAAGTCGAGTAGATCGGAGTCCAAATTAAGTTGAGTTAGGATGAGATCATGTTCAATTGAGTTGGTTTAGGCCAATGTCAAGTCAAGCTTGGTTAGGTCTAACTTGGGTCGGATCCAAGTCAGATTAAGCTCAGATGTGATCAACATAAATCAAATTAGGTATAATCAAGTCGAATTAAGTTTAGATATCGGTTAATATTATGTCAAACTATGTTAGGTCAATCTCATGTCAAGTCAAGTTGAGTTTACCTAGACTCATGTCAAACTAAACAACTTGAAACTATATTGACCTATAGATAATAATATGAATTTAGAAATGAGAATAATTTCAAATTCTTACCTTTTAAGTGTTATTTTAAATTCTTTAATTTTAAGTAAGACAATTATTTTAATAAAATTCTAAGAATTTTAATTTCCTTCAAAAAAAAGTTTATCCAGATAATATTATTTTTCATAAAACATTTTATATTCTTTTAGAAAATAATTAACTTATTAAAATGCCATCTTTTAACACAAGGTAGAGAGATATATGATATTTCACCCCTTAGGAAGGTAAAAAATAAATTAAAATTAAAATTAAAATTGTTCGCCTCTGAAAACCAAAAATAAAATATTTATATTCATAAATTAATTATGAAGTGCTGAATTAGGGGACTAAATTACGTGTTAACAATGAAATAATGTGTCGAAGTTGGATTTGCCATTTGTCATTTGCCACCCTCCAAGACTTAGCTTAAAGTCATCACAGATATTCTCAAAGTGTGTCTTTCGAGAGCTACGTGCTTCATTTATCTTCGCTTCTTTTACTTCAAGTTAGTGTGTCACAACAAATTCACAATTTCAGCACTAGGAGTAGAAAAAAGAAAAAGGAAATGTTAATTTGCCAGGCTTTGCAAGTATCTATTTTCAGTTTTCAACTTTTAATGGCTTGAAAATACAATTGCCATGTCAGTTTCGGAAACTTTAACATAAAAGCTACTTATTATTCTCGTATCTTTTTTTTTGGCGTTTTGCCACAACCATCTCCGAAGGCCAAATTAGTAATTTAAATTCAAATAAAGTGAAAATAACTGATCCTCCAATGCCCTTTGTATTTTTTGCACCACCTGACACTATTGATAAAATAATAATAATAAAAATATTATGAAGTTGTGAGCTGAGTTGAGAAGAACCAATGAACAACAATGTCTTGTCTGGTGGTTGGTGTTAAAAACTTGGAAGTTCCCAAGTTAGGTTAGTTGTACATGAATTAATGTTTTCCACAAACAGTGAATTTGCAAAGTAAGCACTTCAGAATATCATAATTACATGCATGGTATTTGGGCACTGTGTGTTGAGTCAAAACTGAAAACAAAATTAGGGTGATGAAATTATGATTATGCATAAATATAAGAGGTGTGAGCTATAAATAACTAAAGAAAGGTTGCCTTACATTCCACGTTTCTTTCTCTTCAGCGCACCAGTATTTAGGGGTTTCTTTTTCTCTCTGTTTCTTTCTCCACCTATTACCACCTCTTCCACCCTCAGTTACCATCACATTTCAGTTCCATTCCATGTTCCATGATTTCCACCACCATCGTTCTCTTTTTTCTCTTACTTTCTGGGGACTTTGCTGTCTGATGAAAAACCACTCTAGCTTATTCTACTGTCTACAAATATTCTTCTGAATTCAGTTGTTTCAAAACAAAACAAAACCAAATAAAGAAGAACAAAAGGGCATTCCATTCTCTCCCTGGCCAAGTTGTTTTTCCAATGAAAATTAAAACTTTGCTGTCTATTTGTTATTGAATCCTCGTTAGCTTGATTGTGATCAGAATTCTTGGTTAAGGAAGCAAAGAGGTTGGTTTTAGAGTAAGTGGGAATGGAAAACGTTTCGGTTCTGTGTAAGGAAGAGGTTCCGATGGATTTGCCTCCAGGGTTTAGGTTTCATCCAACTGATGAAGAGCTTATTACTCATTACCTTTACAGAAAGGTAACGGAGACAAACTTCTCAGCTAGGGCCATTGGAGAGGTGGACTTAAACAGGTCTGAACCTTGGGATTTGCCATGTAAGTTCAAAACAGAAAAAAAGTTCAGTCTCACTTTGGTTTTGGCTTCTAAGTACTGCAAAATATCATAAATTTTATGCACACGCTTTTTTTGTTATAGGGAAGGCCAAAATGGGAGAGAAAGAATGGTACTTTTTCTGTGTGAGAGACAGAAAGTATCCAACCGGTTTGAGGACGAACAGGGCCACTGAAGCAGGATACTGGAAGGCCACAGGGAAAGACAAAGAGATCTTCAGAGGAAAATCTCCTGTGGGAATGAAGAAAACTTTGGTTTTCTACAAAGGAAGGGCCCCCAAGGGAGAGAAAACTGATTGGGTCATGCATGAATATAGACTTGAGGGTAAATTCTCTGTCCCCAACCTCCCCAAAACTGCAAAGGTAACTAATTTACAATAATTTTCTCTTCACCATGTTGCAGTCATGAGAATTTTCTGTTTCTGAGTTTAATTCAGTGCTATTTATTGGTGTGTTGCAGAACGAGTGGGTGATTTGCAGGGTGTTCCAGAAGAGTTCGGGTGGGAAGAAGACTCATATTGATGGGATAATGATGATGGACTCTTACGGAAACGAATTGGGTTCATCTGCTTTGCCACCTCTTACTGATTCCTCACCTTCCATTGGCAACACCAAAGCACTGAGTGTGACTGAACAGGTTTACGTGCCCTGCTTCTCCAATCCAATTGATGTTCCAAGAGGGATCTTCGATTCCTTCAGCAACATCAACGTCATCAACAACAACAACGCCCTTTATGGGGTTTCTTCAAACCATTCATTCTACTCCACTCAAGGGTTTCAACTTCAGGCTCCACCAACGTTGCCTTCACCCGGTTCTTCAAACCATTACCTCAGATCCTTCTTTAACAACCATGGAAAAGGATCATTCTTGAGGAATGGCTTTGAACCAGAGACGGAAATGGTCAGTGTCTCACAGGAAACAGGTGTTTCTACTGAAGTGAACGCAGAAACCTCTTCGGTTGTGTCAAATCTTGAGATGGGGAATAGACTCTTTGAGAATCGAAACAACCCAATTGGTTCAGCTGCACCAGTGGACCTTGCTAGCTTGTGGAACTACTGATCTCACATGAAGAAAACAAATCCAACATTTTCAGCAGAAAAAGAATATCCGCATTTACTATTTATTCTTTGGGTTTGATTGGGATGTTGTCCTTACTGCTGCAATAGATTTTAACTAAAAGATGCACTGTACTGTACAATAGCAAAACATATATTTTGTACTGTAAAAAATCTTCTGAACTCTGTTTTGGTGGTTTGATACTCTAGGCTTGTTGTTGTTGTTATGGTTTGTATGGTATGAACATGATTACTGTGTATCAGCTTTTATTAAAATTAATACTAGAATGAGACACGGTTTGGTCTCATTTTTTTATATCTGGATTCTACGGCCAAATCTTAAGAGAATGACCTTTATTCTTGTAATATTTGAATTCGATATTTAATTCTTCGATGTGGGGACTGAATCAAGAACAGTAACCATTAAAAAATGAAAATCTCTCTATTCCCTCTCTTGGAAACACGTGCACGCGCTTCCTTTGACATGGACAAATTAATATTAACAAACTTATCTGCATTTACCTTCTGCAAGTGAAGCTCCTTGTGGAAATCAGGACCCTGAAAGTTTTTTTTTTTTCTTTTTCTCTCTCCTCTGTTCATGTGGATGATAAGCCAGAATGTTTAACTCAGTCAACCATTCAATTTTATCCAATCAATTTCAGGACATTCTCTGATAGAGTCAATTATATATTTGAAAACGTTTCTTGTTGTTTGAAACTAATAAACCAGTTATTATAAGTTCTAACATATTTATCTTTTTTCGAATTTGTTTTAATTGTTTTGCTTTTGCCTTCGAAATCAATAACTCATACAAGTCAATAACAAGAACAAAAGATTTCTGCAAAACATCCATAAACATTTTAAATTCTTTTTTTCTCTAAAAATTCATAAATTTATTATATTAAGATTTTAAATTAGAAGTGTTCACGTGAACATAAACAAATATAAATGACAAGTACGAAACAGCGTAGGACCACTTGAAGTCATCTTTGACAGAAAATCAAACATAGATGAACAAAGAAACAGAATATGTTCTCGGAGTTATTTCCCACAATTCTGTTACTCTTGATATTTTTGGGTTCAAGGATGTTTTTTTTTATACAATTTCATCCGCTTGAACTAAATTATAAATTTTTTATGATTATACATGGGTGTGTATGAGAGAGAATTAAACAATATTCCAAAAACAAATAATTTTGTTTTCGTTGGTCATACTAAATAAAGACATATATGCTGAGAGGATTTGTCTGTATGTGCGATTATCGATTCAACGTTTAGTTAATTCATTCATTCGAAAAAGTTCAATCATTCATTTCCCGTTCCATGATGCTTGAATTGCGTTTTGAAGCTGCAATGCCATGACATGAGAACATCAATGCCCTCTTTTTTTCTTATTTTGTCCAAAAATATAATATACGTGTCTCCTTTTTGTACCATCTGGTGCTTTTATTTATGGCACATGATAAATCCTCCATCTACAAAAGTAAATCAAATTGAGTCCTACACGGCTTCATCGTTAACTCTGTGAAATCACTGCCAACATGCCTTTCACAAAGTGTTCCTCAACTCATTTTCACCATTTTCATGGCAAAGAACTACTATGTTCTTTTTGTTCTTTCTTTCATTCGCACACTTATCTTCTTAATTACTATCATAACAATCAGTTTAACTTCAAATTATCTAAATACAAAACCCAATGAAATTCTCCACAATTCAAACATAAATTGTAAAGATCATTACGTATGGGGTTGAGAATAATAACAACAAAGTTATGGTAAATTCTGTGGTTATTAACTTAGTGCTGTGGTCTATTTGATTACATCATGAGCAGTTCGTGTTTCGGTAAGAAGTTGTTGATAAGTCTCATTTCATGAATTTCATTAAGGTTATTTCGCATTCTTGATGTTTTTCTACCCATTCAAATGGTGTTCGTGTTGGGTTACAGTTTTCATATTTGGCATGTATGCTTTTGGAATAATTCAAAAACTGTACTCAACTTTTACTTATTTCGGTGGAAGTTTATATTGATTTAATAAAGTATTAATCCTTTAGATGAATCAACATTTACATCCATAATATAATATATTTGAAAGTAACTCCAAATGAAACTTATTTACATATACGTTAATATGTTTTCTTGATGATGATTTTGAAAGAAGTATTGGTGCAAGAAGCTTTTTGTTATTTTCTCTATCTAATCAAATATATTATTGTTATATGTTTATTTTTCTTTTACCGAAATGATTAAACATTTTAATCAATTTTTGATCGATTAATATTGTCACTCATCTTTTCGAGTGGATTTTTTTACTATTCATAATAATTATTGTCGTCTTACCATCACTCATCATCTAAAATATGAAATCAAAAAATAATTAAATGAAATGAGTTTCTCCATAGAATTAATACCGAAATAATTAAACATTTGATTTAAATTTTTATCAATTGATATTTTCACTCATCTTTTCGAGTGGAATTTTGACATTCATAAGAATTGTTGTCATCTTGCCATCGCTCATCATCCAAAATAGGAAAGAAAAAGAAATTAAATGAAATGAGTTTCTCCATAAAATATAATAGTTTATATAGACAAAATTTTAGAAAAACTATGTGGGAGAACTTATATAAATTGGTTTATACTTAAATTAATTTCAAATTTTATTATTATATTTTTCTCTTCAAAGTATTATAGAAAAAATCATCAAATATATTATAAATAGTTCGATTCCACATATTTCAAGGATAATAGACATTTTGTTGCTCCTCAATGTGAGATTAAAAACTTTATTTCTTCTTGATTTAATGTCTTTGGTCTAATGTTACATTTGTAAATTATTTCACTTTTTTATTCAAAATTTGAGCAATTGATAAATTAGCATCTCATCTTATCAAGTGAGTGGTTGACTGTTCATAAGAATAATTTTCAATTTAATCCATCAATCATAATCTAAGATAAAAAATTTGAATGAAATTATGTACAAGTGTATACATATTTAATTTTTCTTTTATTTCTCTCTCCTCAAAGTGTATATATAAAATTTTGTCAAGATATTACTAATTCTTTTACACACACATCAAATATATAAAATATTCACAACCATTTGTATTTCACATCATTCAAAAGAAGAAAGTTATAATACAATATTAAGAACTATAACTAATTATAAAACTCCTCAACACATCAGCACTCTTTGATAATCTCAATGATAGATGAGAGAGAACTTATTAACTTTAAAGGAGAGATTATTCTAAGTCACGAAAGGATCCAAGTGTTATAATAATATAAAAAGTCCATATTCAATTCAAAAATTGCTCTATACAATTGCTAATAAAAGTTATAAAAGTCTTTCACTTATTATTTTTTAACAATCTCGAAAAACTCTTTACTTTGCAATTCTAAATTGCATAATAAAATATAAAAAATAAATATGAAAATAATGATTATATGTAAAAGATTATGACCATAAATTATAAATCATGATATAGATGAGTGAGTGCTAGTAGCCATCATATCTCCTTTCCTTTTCTTAATAACGAAATTGAAAGACACAGTTTAGAAAGTATTGTGCTCTAACCAATTATAGTACAAAAGATCACAACTTTCAACCAATAATTCCAAAAGCTGTGCAAAACCAACGAGGGTATTAATTAAGCACTTAAGAATCTTTGACAACTTTCTCTAAAGAACTATATATTCCCACTTACTTAGTGACAAATTCTCTGAAATATGGGCTTTTCTTCAATATAAGACTTAGGGACCTATTATACAAACCGTGAAAAAACTATTAACTTAAAAAATGTACGAACATGATGATGAAGCATGTAATGGAGAACTTACTTTTATATTTTCTTAAATGATAACGCCTTGTTAATTAATTGTGAAAATAAATAATTAAATTTTAAAATGTTTAATAAAAATTATAAATTGTATATATCCAACCCAATAAATATATCAAATAGCATGATCTAACCAAACTCATTAAATGTTATTAACTTAAAGTTAAATAATATTTTAAGATATTTTTGTTAATCCAATTATTATATATTAACCGAATAAGTAATTAAATCTCTATAGTTTAATTATATTATAATATCCTTTAATATCATTTATCAGTATAATATATGCTTAATAAGGTAAAATATTATATTATTATTATTGATATAAATAGTAAGTTGTTATATTTGTTAATATTATTTTATATTTTCTTGATATTATAGTTTTTACAAAAAAAAACTTATAAGGTTTAGAAACTTTATAAATACATATATACAGTATAAATACATACAGTATTTCACCGGAAAAAAAACACACAACTTTCTTATATTCTCTCTTTTATGCATAAAGATCTAAAACTCTCTTAAAATGTTAGAGAGTTTTTAACATGTGAATCTTCTACTTCCAAACAATAATGAATTTGATTCTAACTATCAAAATTTGTCATTTGTCCAAAGATTCATACTCTATATCCTAATAAAAATATTTGACACCTACCATGTGATATAGGTAAAAATTTATCTTGCCTTCATACTTTATACTATCACCATCTTATATAAAAATAGTTTATCGTTATTTATAATCATTATACTCTTATTATCATGAAAATTAATTAAAATTTTATAATGATTTTGAGAAGTGTTATCCTAAGTCTTCGTCTCTTTCATACATTAATATAATATTTTATTCGATATATATATATATATATATATATATATATATATATATATATATATATATATATATATATATCGATCGTTAGTTCCTTTTAAATAATTGGCGTATATAATTCGTATAAAATATATAGATTGATTTTTAATTCATATAAATTTTATAGTAATTCATATAATATATTTTTATTCTATTTTATTTTTATCAAAATACTATTATATTACACGAACCACGTCAACACTCATATAATGTGGCTATCTAAATGGTTGATAGTAGATTTTAAATAAAATTGTTGTTTTGTGTCTCTACATGAGTTATACGACTTTTTTTTCGATGTTTAATTTATAAAAGGAAATAATGTTATTTTATATAAAGATAATTAGGGTTGTATCATTTATTTTACTTTTAGCCCATAGTTTCGATATTTAATGTATAAAAGGAAATAATGTTATTTTATACAAAGATAATTAGGTTCTAGAATTTATTTTTTTATGGTCCAAGTCGTCATGTTCGTTTGAGACTATAAAATCAAGTAGTTTCATGACTCCAAATGAAACTAGGAATTAAATGAAGAATATAAAGACTTTACGCACTAAGTAGAAAAATTATTTTTAATAAACATTTATTTGAAAACACTCAAATTTAGAG